AATACTGTTTAAACAATGAACTCTGCTCAATGAACAATAAATGTGAGAAAAAAAACATATATATGTTAAAAAAAATATGGTCGGCGCCAGGACGCGAACCTACGTCAAAAAAGTACGCAGCGATTACTGGCCTGGAGTCTTCGCCGCTTCGCCACCGCCGTTGTTGGAAAACTGTCTTCCGTCTCGGCACTTGAACATGGGACAATTTCGTTTATTTTCACTTTATCGTTGTTGAAATTATGTCTATCCTTACTGAAAATGTTTAAAAACATGTAATAAAAATTCTGTATGAAAAAGACATACAAATTCGAAGCAGAAGTTACTTTTTCAAGCAAAAAAAGAAGTTTTTGATTTTTTTCACATTGACGCACCAATTTTAAAAATCTGAAAAAATTCATGAACAATCCTTGCAACAATACGAATCTACCATAAAAATATGAAAATAGTATCCCCCCCATTTTCTATGTGAAAAAATTATTTTTAGCACTTTTTTATTTTTCACGGCTACATTTTGCAAGGGAAAAATCTGAAAAAATTCTCAGACTTGTCCAACTACACTGCGGACATGTCAGAATTTTTTCAGATTTTTCGCAAGGCGTTAAATAAGGAAAAACCTCAAAAAACTGATTTTTCGAATTTTCCCGATTACTCCCCCCCTGGTTGAGATATAGGGCTAAAAATTGGAGTGAATGTTTCTTTTTAGATATGCTATCGAATGGCGCAAACGGCGCTTCATTCGGCTCAAGGGCACATTTGACCCCCTTATCCAGCTAGGCCCTTTAACTAAAATACAAAGTACCTTATCATTGGTGATAGTTGTACTTTCTGTAGGACTGGTTAGGGAATGAATTTAACTTAACTAGATTAACTTTAAATTTATTAATATGAATAAGTATGCTTATAAACTATACGTAAATGAAAAGATAATATAAATTGAGAAATACATCGCTTGTACTGCGCGACACACCACGCACGCTTGCACTGCTTGCACGCTTCTAAAACCGAGCAGAACGGTAAAACAAAGTCTCGAATAGTCCTGGCTTCGCAATGGTAAGGCGGGAGGAGCTAACTAGACTTCACTTTCATTGATTAAAATTGAAAACTTGTGCTTTCTTAAAATGGACACTAGCTTGTTAACTTCAAATTTGGTTGAAACATCGTTAACTATTCTAATACATTTTTTCTCGGGAGTTTAAGATTATTCACTACCTGTGGTTCGGTAAAAATTTCTTTTAATAGAGGGACCTGTAACCGAATAGCTCGGCGTTGAGGGAGAGGTTCGTGTCTCCTTGTGAGGAGGACTCTGAATTGGAAGGGAAATCAGAAATAAAAAGACTCCGGATTATCACAAAATTACGTATCTTAATGTATTTGTAACCGTGACTAGATTCGTCAGTCTCACAATGAAATACTGTACTTTACCGGACTCAGGGCGGAATCTATATTCGAATTGCGCGGAAATGCGCAATTTAACTATGCTAGACCTAATGGCTCTCTTTTTACGAATCCAATTGATCGGTGCTCGCGATTTACAATTACAATAATCAATATTCTTTAACTTACGGATCGTCGGCATACAAATATGAGATCTCTTGATACAACGGCTCTCGTGATTAATCAATATTCTTTCGCACGCTACCTCATGAACTTCGTTTAACATACCAGATGCGAACGATTGAATTTGGCTTTTGTCGTACACATCTGGCTGGACGCGCGTTGTTCGAGACCAGATGTGTACGACAAAAGCCAAATTCAATCGTTCGCATCTGGTAAGTGCAAGTCTGGAAACTATCCCTTGTCATCGGTTCGAGTGTTCTGCACGTGAAGAATTTTTAAGAATGTCAAGGAAACGAAGGTCAGGTTCAGTTGAAAAATACAAACACATTTTCTATAACCACCGAGTGGGGAAAGATTTTCTGGAAGAAAATCTGCGAGCGAGCGGTCAGTTGGCTTTGCCTTACGTTACTAAACAGAACGATGCGTATCCTAAAGAACACGGAATATTCTAATATGTTCGTTATTTGAGTAAGTGAGTTATAATCCAAGCGTTTGAGCATAAGTGAGTTATAATCCAAGAGCGGCAGTGGAATTGTTCTGCGAACGGTATTCCGATCGGAACTAACACTTCAAATAAAATCGAGTATGGAAATTTTGAATTGCAAAGTGTAAAAGTGATCATTTTTGTTTTATGAAAATTTGTCAGTGGGAAAGTGACAGTGATCGTGATGATAAGGAAAAAATCGTCGGGTGCAGATCACTAACTTACTCCAAGCATCAGCTGCTGCGAGCCATGTGTCCTATCTTCGAGTGCCGAAGGTCGACCCATTGACCCATTGACGTTCTTCTACGAGCAGATGCACTGACCAACCAAGAAGTAAGTTCAACTCTGATTCTTTTCACATTTTTCATAATTTTACCTGTCCTGTAATTTGTAAAGTTGTTTGTTATTTCATTGAGCATGTTACATTTTTTCAGTGAACGTAAGTAACGACTAATCCCTTTCTTTCGTCTGACATTTAACCAATTTGTTAGTTCGTTTTTGCATGCAACATTTCTTTAATTCTATGCTCTCGTCACGAGCGCGACATACGGGCGCGGCAATGCACGAGGCGGTTGCCGCGCTCCTGCCCGCCTTGTATACTCGCGTTCTGATTGTGTTGCGTCCTGTTCCACAATCGCAATTGATGCGGTCTACAGAATGCGCAGAGTGACTTGAATGTTGGCCACAATAAAAATGCAATGTTTGTTTAATTACAGTGGACTGTATTTGGTACAACTATAAACGCGTCTTAAAATCAAACTTGACGTATTTTCTGAGTTTCTCGCGTGATGTTCTCTGGTTGATGAACGAAACTCCTCGCACTCTGCTCGCTGATGGACAAAGCTCCTTCGTAAAAATTGCAGAAGGGGCAAAAAAATCAAGAAGTGGGGGTTGAATTTCCCAACGAAGAAAAAACTGCGAAGCCAACCGAAAATAGCCATGTGCTGTGACCACTCGAAAGTTTCCCTTAGGTATTTGGAGACCCTCGACTCGTCGTTTAGCTAATGGCTTCCAGATGCTAAAAAACCGTTATCCTGAGCAGGGTACAGATAAACGTTAAAACTCTTGCCTTAGCTTCGTGAATTCTACGCAGTGAAATAAATGTAATCCTAAGAACGCATCATTCCGCCTCCCTTGAACGGTCACGTTCAACGAAAAACAGATAAACAACTATACTAGATGTGTTGTGTGTTGTTTATGTCATACAAAATGTGTACGTGTTCCGAATCTTAAACTAATCTATATATGAAAACCATAATGCTGCGTAGCTTGACATATACAATTTAAATTGAATGCATATATGTTATTACTAACTATTAATGAATAACAACATTGTATACTAAAATTATACAAGAACAAACTAATGATACGCTTATGTGATACATAAATTACACATCTTCTTTCTTCGCTTGTGATTGGCCCTCTATTGGTAGTGGCACTACCTGCTTGATGGCCCTTTTAACTGTCACCCGAACGACGTCATCCATCCCAGGATGGATTGCAATAATCCTCCCTAATTTCCATTGCATCGGTGGCAATTGTTCGTCGCGTAGAATAATCAGCATGTCCTTTTTCAAACGTTCAGGTGAATTGAGATGCCATTTACGCCTGGTATGTAATTCCTGTAAATATTCCCTTTGCCATCGTAACCAAAAATGTTGCTGACATGACAAGCGGTTTATAGGTAAATCAGTAATGTCAATTCAGGTGAAGTTCACAATGATTCACCTATCAGGAAATGTGCGGGTGACAGGGCAACCAGATCATTAGGATCCGAGGAAATAGGAATCAAAGGTCTCGAATTTAAAATGGCTTCTATCTCTATAACTAATGTATAAAATTGTTCAAATGTGGGTAAAGTCTGTCCTATAATTCGTTTTAAATGAAACTTGAAGGACTTTACACCAGCCTCCCACAATCCTCCGAAATATGGCGACCGCGGTGATGTAAAGTGCCAATTTATACAATCGTCAGTTAAAACTTCTAAATTCCGCTTTAGAGCGTCTGATGCTAAAAACTTCTGAATTTCCTCTATTCCATTTTTTGCGCCTATGAAATTAGAGCCATTATCACTATAAATGTTCCTTGACTTACCTCTTCTTGCGAAAAATATTTTCAATTTGGCTAAAAACGCTTCAGTGCTTAACTCGCTTCCTACTTCTAAATGTATAGCTTTAGTAGTAAAACAAACAAATACGGCTACCCAAACCTTGATCTTACTGCGATTTCTATGTTTTCTTTCTTTAATAAAAAATGGACCACAATAATCGATACCTGTATTAATGAACGGACGCGTCTGAACTACTCTATCTCTTGGTAGCTCTCCCATAATATAACTAGGTGCCTTAGGGTTTGCTCTTACGCAAATCATGCACTCACGAATAACTCTGCGCGTAGTATTCTTCCCATCGATAGGCCAATAACGTTGACCAACCGCATTTAACGTTAGTTGAACCCCAGAATGATATTGTTTTATATGCTCATGTCTTATGATAAGTTTTGTCACATGATGCTCTCGCGGTAACACGATCGGATATCGTTGGGAGTAATTCACGCGTGCGAATTTTAATCTACCTCCTACACGAATTAAATCTTCTTCGTCTAAAAACGGGTTTAAACAAAGAAGTCTGCTTCTGTTAGAAAGTGTTTTCCCTTTTTTCAAATTTCGCACGTCATCTGAAAGTGCTTCATTTTGTAAAATCTTTAATATGACAACATGCGGTTTGTTTAGTTCTTCTACCGTTAAACCTCCTATGATCTTATGCTTATATCTGATTCTTTTATAAAACCGAAATATGAATGCTACTACGCGATTTAACAATGTGATGGATGAATAACGAATTAGCAAATCCAGTGAATTATTTGTGACAGTGAATGATTGCACAGCACGACTTTCCGGAATTTCAGACAGTCGTATGTCTAATGACGGCCAAAAATTCTCTCCTTGTGATAATCGAAATGGACCATGAAACCACATCTCATTGGTTATTAAATCAACAGCAGACTGACCTCTAGAAAGACAATCAGCAGGATTATCAGCTGTAGGCACATGATACAAATCGTTTCCTTATGAATCTGCTTGTATCTCGTTAACTCGGTTTGCTACGAAGGTTTTCAATAAATAAGACGGTGTTTTAATACATTGTAACGCTATCGTCGAATCCGACCAAAATCTGACTTTGTTAAATGTAAAATGCGATATAGAATGCTTAACTTCCTTGTATAAATCTATCAATAATTTCGCTGCACATAATTCTAAGCGTGGTAAGGAAACAACCTTAACCGGTGCAACCCGTGACTTTGCGCATAATAATTTCACATAATGCTTATTATCCTTACTGCTTCGTATGAAAATACACGCTCCGTAAGCTGCCTCACTGGCATCACAAAACCCATGCAATTGAATATCTTCAGCCTGACTAATTATACAATTGCGATTTACTGCAAGTTTTTCTACGAATTGTAGCTCGCGCTCGAATTGAAACCAGAAAGTTGTGGAAGCGATTCATCCTACTCTAAATTAATTTTCCACAGTTGTTGCATAATAATTTTCGCACGAATAATGACAGGACCAAGTAGTCCCAACGGATCAAATAACTGTGCAATCTTTGATAATACTGTACGTTTAGAACATGAATAGCTATTCTCGAAAGGTTTTAGAACATACACGATTTTATCAGTATATGGAATCCATTGAACGCTTAATGTTTTCTTAATGTCTTTTGAATCTAAAAATAAGATTTTCTGTTCCGATGACGGTTGCAAATCTTCTAACAGTCTATTATCATTGGATGCCCATTGCCGTAAATTGAACCCCCCTTTGCTAGCTAAGGAAATAAGTTCATTACGTAATTGTAATGCATCCTCAAAATCAGATGTTCCTGTGAGCAAATCATCGACATAAAAGTCGCGCGTAAAGATTTTCGCGGCGCGAGGAAACAAATGCTCCTCATCCGTGGCTAATTGTTTTAACGTCCTTACTGCCAAGAAAGGCGCGCAAGCGGTACCATATGTGACTGTTTCCAAATTAAATGCTTTAACAGATTCATCAATAGAATCTCTCCATAAAATCTTCTGATATTTAGTATCATCACTATGCACCTTTATTTGCCTGAACATTTTCTCTATGTCAGCCGTAAACACATATTGATGCGTTCGAAATCTAAGAATTATATTAAATAAAGTATTTTGAATCGTGGGACCTGTTAAAAGTATGTCATTCAAAGAAAAACCACTTGTGCTTCTCGCTGAAGCGTCGAAAACTACTCTTAACTTCGTTGTTGCGCTATCTAATTTCAAAACTGCATGATGTGGTAAATAAAATCCTTCATTTTGAATTTCATTAATTGTCTGTTTCATATGTCCCAATTGCTCATATTCCTTTAAGAAAGCACGATATTGAATCTTCAATTCTGGTTCTCTTTCTAGACGTCGTTCTAAAGAATAAAATCTTTTTAACGCTAGTGACCTCGATTCGCCTAATGAATGTTGCTTGTCGTTAAAAGGTAACCGAACTATGTATCGGCCATCTGATTCCCGCCTTGTGTTTAACGCGTAATGTTCCTCGCAAGCTAACTCATCATTAGAATAAAATACCTTTTTCGGCAATTGCTCAATTTCCCAGAATTTACTTAATTGATTTTCTAACGAAATTACTGAAAGACATTCAATTGCTTTCCGAATTTTCGAAAGATTAGATGACTTCACCCTTCCAGTAACCAGTCAACCTAGTTGCGTGTTTTGTAATATTATAAGACCCTTGTTTAAATATACTTTTCCTGATTCTAATAACCGATAGAAAATTGTGTTTCCTAGCAGTATATCTATTTTGCCTGGTTTGTTAAAATCAGGATCCGCCAATTTCAAATCTCTTGGCAAATTAATTGCATTCGCGTCTATACCATGAGCTAGCAAAATTCCTGTTATAGAATCTAATACTACAAACGTATCCTTTGTCATAAATTTGCGATCGTTTGAACCGAACTTCAAATTTACCATCTGCTTCGCTGATGTGGTTAATTGCTCCAAGCAACTAAACGACAGATTTATGTAATGTTCTTTCAATCGTAAATCTTTTGCTAATTCTTTAGTAACAAAATGCGTTTGCGAACCTGCGTCCAACAAAGCTCGACATGAACTTCCAAAATTGTCTACAACTATAATTTTTGCTGTACCTAGTAAAACTTCTGCATTCGTAACTACAGTGAATGTCTTGCTTAACGAATTAGACTCTAATTTCTGGGATGTTTCTGCTTCTAACTCTGTCTCCAAATTCTGAGACTGATCAATTGGCAATTCCTTTTTCATTGCTTTATCTGCATGAATATGCAATAATGTATTATGTTTTTTATTACATATACGACATCCCGTGCCTCTGCAATCAGCCACCGAATGATTCGACCGAAAACAGTTGAAACAAAGCTTCGCGTTTTTTACCTTATCTCTACGTGCCTGATTGTCTAATTGTATAAATTGTGAACATTGATATAATGCATGCTGACCTTGGCAAACTATACAACTATTCGATTTATTATTGGTTGCCACAAAAGAGTGCGCTTGTCCCTGAGTCGATGTCTTTTTACGAGCATCGCTCTGATGCGTATTTTTTGTCTTAGAAGACTCGTTATCAAATTCGTCTCCGCGTGCTTGTTTGAATACAAAATCAACTAATTCTTGAAATTTTGGAATCGTATCATTTTCTAACGTACGTTCCCATGCCCTACGCGTAACCTTATCTAGTTTTTGGTATAAAATATGCTCTAAGAAGGCATCCCAATGTTCAACCGGCTGTTTTAATGCCTTAAAAGCATTGACATGTGTTAATGCTTGTTCCGCCAATGTACGCAAAACTGACGGAGTATCACGCGTACACTCCTGGAGTTTCAGCAACGTATTTAAATGCGCTCGTATTATCTGCCGTGGTCTATCATATTTTGCAATTAGCAAATCCCAAGCTACCTGGTAATTACTGAGAGACAAAACTACAGACGCAGCTTCACCTTGAAGAGCGTTCTTTAAAAAATGGAATTTTTGTACCGATGGCAACTCTTCATTATCATGAATTAAAGATTTGAACGTATCATGAAACGTGTGCCATTCAGTCAGATTACCATCAAATGGTTTAATTCGAATCTTGGGTAGGTGCGCATTTGTTGATTTTACAAATGTAGTGCTAAGTGATTGCAAATCTCTCGACATATGAATCGGCGTATTGTCATTAATGGCGCGAAGACGCCTGTTAATCGCGCGTGAAATATCAAAACATTGATTTTCGAATAAAGCTCTTTCTGTGGAATAATCTGTTGTTTCATCTTGCAATTCAATATCAGTTTGATGTTCTTCATATTGTTTTTGAAATTCTACCAATGAATTCTTCAAATCCATCAAATCTTCAAGAAGCAAATTCTGATTAGTTTCTACTTTATATGCTAATCGCGTGACTTTACCGTTTACTATTGAGCGACGCGACAGACGTTGTTTGACTGATAATGACATTATTCTTTCTTATTTCCAAATAAAAATTAAAGGAAACGGTTAAAGGAAATAGCAAGGAAGGTGAATCACTGAACTCACCCGAATGATGACCCACTGAATTCCAATCGCTTTACGTCCCGTTAATCTTAACGAGCTGCTCTGCATACGATCCTTGATTCCTGGATGCTAGATACGCTTCCACTGTTCCGTCGGCCTGGCAGGTTGTGTCCTCTGCTTCTGCTGCTGAACGGCTGCTCCATGGTGTTGCGTTCACTTCAAGTCTTTCCAATTAGTCACTCCGAATCCGGAATTCTAGATTTGCAAATCTAGAACTGTTGAATTACGCGTCGTATCCGGCTCGAAGGACCAAAAATGTTGCGTCCTCTTCCACAATCGCAATTGATGCGGTCTACAGAATGCGCGGAGTGACTTGGATGTTGGCCACAATAAAAATGCAATGTTTGTTTAATTAAAGTGGACTGTATTTGGTACAACTATAAACGCGTCTTAAAATCAAACTTGACGTATTTTCTGAGTTTCTCGCGTGATGTTCTCTGGTTGATGAACGAAACTCCTCTCACTCTGCTCGCTGCTGGACAAAGCTCCTTCGTAAAAATTGTAGAAGGGGCAGAAAAATCAAGTAGTGGGGGTTGAATTTCCCAACAAAGAAAAAACTGCGAAGCCAACCGAAAATAGCCATGTGCTGTGACCACTCGAAAGTTTCCCTTAGGTATTTGGAGACCTTCGACTCGTCGTTTAGCTAATGGCTTCCAGATGCTAAAGAACCGTTATCTTGAGCAGGGTACAGATAAACCTTAAAACTCTTGCCTTAGCTTCGACCATGAATTCTACGCAGTAAAATAAATATAATCCTAAGAACGCATCAGATTGGGCGGGGATTTTTGTTAATAACTCAATAACCACGCCTAACTTTTTCGCAAAGGAAAAATTTGTTTAAAATCACCTCAGCAACCTCCCATTAAAATATGTACCACTAGTCCTGGGACACCCTGTATAATCTAACTTATTGCATATTAATATGGCAGTACCCCCCTCTCTCCCTCTTTTCTAGGGCTGCTAATAAAATTGTAGTTACTGAACCATTCTATATTTCTCGCTAATTTTGTTTTCACTTGTAGGGACTAAATTTTTCTGTGCAATGAAATGTGATAAATGAAGCTTTACATACCTCTTTCAACATTTCTTCCCGTATATTTTCTTCCTTGCTCGCTTCCCGATTTTTTTATTCTTCCGCCTTCTCCTGCTGTTCCTGTCTTTCTATGTCCATCTGTAAAGAAATTGTGAAATACCTATCAGAATTGTTGCACTTTTTATTACAGTAGACTCACGTACAACGCGAGTGATACGTCTATACGGGGGTTGTTTATCGCGGTGTATGAGAATGAGAATTGCCGTTATAAGAGAACGCGTCGGTATACGGGAGTTCACTGTATTTATTGATAATAAGTGAGCAGTAAGTGAAAGGGGGAATAGCAATATACGTGATGACACTTACCGTGTTTTTATCTGCCATTTTGTGTCTTGAACGTTCTGTAACTCTCTCTCTGTAACTAACTTTTTCGAACTGTCAGTTTGCTTTAGCGCGCGGCGAAAATTTTTCCGTTTATATAGCCCTCTTGGACAAGAGGAAGGAATCGTGGTTGGTATTGGAGCACCATGATTGACTGTCTACATCTTGCGTGGGCATTTCCCATTGTCACACAAATTTCTCTTTGTCCACAAAAGTTGTTTAAAAAAGGAATAAGTTAATTTCCCAATCGCCTCTCCGATTTAAATTTAATCGTCCGAAATAATAATAATCTCGGGACTGTATTGAGGTTCCGAGAAAGTCACCGCGATATCAGAAAAACATGGATACACGTGCCGAGTTTCTTGCCGGCTCGGTCGTTTTTAACGGTCGCGATGTTTAGATTCCGCGACCGAAAAAAGTTCGAATCGAGCAGAGCGCGACGGAGTACAACGACACGCGTGTGACGTGTCACCTGTGTGTGAGCGAGATAGAGATACNACCTATCAGAATTGTTGCACTTTTTATTACAGTAGACTCACGTACAACGCGAGTGATACGTCTATACGGGGGTTGTTTATCGCGGTGTATGAGAATGAGAATTGCCGTTATAAGAGAACGCGTCGGTATACGGGAGTTCACTGTATTTATTGATAATAAGTGAGCAGTAAGTGAAAGGGGGAATAGCAATATACGTGATGACACTTACCGTGTTTTTATCTGCCATTTTGTGTCTTGAACGTTCTGTAACTCTCTCTCTGTAACTAACTTTTTCGAACTGTCAGTTTGCTTTAGCGCGCGGCGAAAATTTTTCCGTTTATATAGCCCTCTTGGACAAGAGGAAGGAATCGTGGTTGGTATTGGAGCACCATGATTGACTGTCTACATCTTGCGTGGGCATTTCCCATTGTCACACAAATTTCTCTTTGTCCACAAAAGTTGTTTAAAAAAGGAATAAGTTAATTTCCCAATCGCCTCTCCGATTTAAATTTAATCGTCCGAAATAATAATAATCTCGGGACTGTATTGAGGTTCCGAGAAAGTCACCGCGATATCAGAAAAACATGGATACACGTGCCGAGTTTCTTGCCGGCTCGGTCGTTTTTAACGGTCGCGATGTTTAGATTCCGCGACCGAAAAAAGTTCGAATCGAGCAGAGCGCGACGGAGTACAACGACACGCGTGTGACGTGTCACCTGTGTGTGAGCGAGATAGAGATACCTCGCGATTTCCACCTTGCGACGACCGAGATGAAAGACAATTTCGAAAAGACGATCATTCCGTTTTTAGGTTTCCGTGATAGAGGATTTCGGATCGATTATTCCTGTATCGGACTTTCCGTGTTGAGGATTCCGTGTCGATTATTTCCGTATCAAGGATTCCCGTGCTGAGGGTTATCGTGTCAAAGATTAACAGTGATCGGCGTTGATTCCCGTGTCGGAGTTTTACCGTGTCGACGATTGTACGTGATCGACGATTATCACAATGTCGATTTCAACGTATCGAGTATTCAACCGCGGCGGAACCCAAGAGCTGGTGAATACAGCACCATTAGAGTGTGACCTGCCTGGTGGAGGATACCTTGGCGGACCCCAGACTTGGTGAATACAGCACTTTTAGAGTGTGACCTGCCCGGTGGATTACGTGTCGGTTGTTCAACCGTGTGGACCCCAATCGCTGGTGAATACAGCATCCGTAGAGTACGACCTGCCCGGTGTAGGATATACCAAGGCGGAACCCAGCATTGGTGAATACAGCACCTTTCGAGTGTGACCTGCACGGCGAAGGATATACCGAGTGCATTCGTGTATCCCGAACGTTCGACCGACGGCTGTCTACTGTGGTCCAGAGAGAGGATGTACGTCGAAGGAGCAGCCACCGTATTCGCGAAGTTACCGAATACGGCACGTGCTTGTGCCAGGTACCCCTGCACATTCTTCTGCAGCTCACCACTTAACGGGTCTCAGCCTGGCCGATAAGTTAATTCGGCTTAACATAGGGCTGAGACTTGAGGTTTCCACCCGGAGCTTCCACTCCTACAAAGTGCAACAAGAAGGTGAGCGGTGAAAGCAGAGCACCGTTTGTTGAGTAATCAACACATACGGTTCCGGTCCCTTTTCAGAGTCATTCGAAAGACTGAAGCGGAGTGCGGAAAGCCTCCGAATAATACAGTCCACTAGCACGCTGCTGAGCTGATTCAGCGTGCGGCTATCAAAGTTGACGAGAGCCAGTATTTATTTAACTCCTTCCCGTGCCATTTAGCTCGACGAAACTATCTGTAGTAATTATAAGTACTATCTGTACTAAGTATCTGTTCGCGACTCAGACTCGTGATATTTATGTTTGCCCCACGTATCTGGTCGCGAGTCAGACTCGTGATATTTATGTTTGCCCCAAGTATCTGGTCGCGAGTCAGACTCGCGATATTCATATTTAGGCAAAAATCTTCATCGCGAGTCTGAGTCGCTAAAGTACGGGAAGGGGTTAAAGATAGAGGCTCTACAAGGTTTAAGAGCGTTGCTCGACCTTGCCAATAATTATTAATTTCTGGTAACGAGAATTCGAGTACGAATTCTCGTGAATACAAACAAAATTCCGATGAAATCAGATCGGCACGGTTATAAGAAACGGTATAACGTTTCTTATACACGGTGTGCCGTACTGGTAAACATCA